GAATATATAATGTATATTTAAATATTAAATAATTTGATTGTAAAGATTGTTGATTTATACGTCTACTGTAGCATTACATTGGACTTCAACATGATACAAAGCTTACACAGTTCTTTCCTATATGCGTATGAGAAATATTTAAAAGACAACTAAAGCTTTGTATAAGTTATCCTTTTCAAAATTACAATATTTACATTTTTCATTGTTATCGAAGAACAATAGATGATTTATATTGTTTACATAGTTAAACAGTTCTTAAAGTATATTGACTTATTCATGATTGTAATGAATAAAATTATTATTAAGTAGGGTAGGGACATTTGTTCTCTAAACAGTACTTCAATCTACTTTGGTGCTGGCTATTGGAAGAAGTATTCCCTTTCCTATCAACATACCTACCCGTCAGCTTGCTGTACTGGCTGTTTGTCTTATTCTTTACTACAGATCTAAGCAGCAGCAGAACAAGACTTTAGAGAGCAAACGTCTGATCCCTATTAGTAAGATGTAAATGCAAGTGTCCGTAAATAGTGATGATTGATGATATAAATTGTTCTAATTAGAAGAAAACAATATAATACAAAATTGTTCTACACAGGAAATTCTACTCCTACGATTCTACCTGATCCAATTGGCAGTAGAGTGGAGGAACCACCTGCTGGAGGAGGGGCACCACCTCCAAATGTTACGGATCCAATAAATACAAGTCCTGAACATCAACCTGCGGATTCTTGGGAAGAAGCAGCCGTAGACGGTGATCCTTTGTTAACTCCAGAAAATGAAGAGGTAAATGAAACATTTATATCTTGTATTAGTAACATCCTGAAGTTTTTATAACGTACAAATATTTATATTATCATAATATATTGTAGAATATACATATTTCTATTATTATCTTATCAATAACTTTGTTTTTTTTATCTAGGCTGATAATGAAGAGGATGAAGAAATGGTTGTTAAAGTACCTAAAAAAAAGCCAGTTAAAGTTGCAGAAGATACTAAAAGCAAAAAAGAACATGTCAATGTTGTTTTTATAGGTCACGTAGGTATGTAATATGAATTATTATTATTAAAGATGAGATATATTATAATTTTTTTGTATAATAAAATTGCATATTATTGTTAATTCTAGATGCAGGGAAATCTACAATTGGTGGTCAGATTATGGCGCTTACGGGAATGGTGGATAAACGTACTTTAGAAAAATATGAAAGAGAAGCGAAAGAACGAAGCAGAGAAACGTGGTACTTAAGTTGGGCTTTGGATACGAATCAAGAAGAAAGAGAGAAGGGAAAAACAGTAGAAGTTGGTAGAGCGTACTTCGAAACTGAAAGAAAACATTTTACAATATTAGATGCTCCTGGACATAAAAGCTTTGTACCCAATATGATCGGTGGAGCGGCGCAAGCTGATCTAGCAGTTTTGGTTATATCTGCGAGAAAAGGTGAATTCGAAACAGGTTTTGATAGAGGTGGTCAAACGCGGGAACATGCTATGTTGGCTAAAACTGCAGGAGTTAAACATTTGGTAGTGTTAGTAAATAAAATGGATGATCCAACAGTAGAATGGGACGAGGGAAGATATAACGAATGCAGGTATATTATCGTTTCATTTATCAAGTAACAAGTTTTTCGTTATATTGTTAAAGAAAACAAATCTACTTAAAAACGTATTATTTCAGAGATAAGATACTGCCATATCTCCGAAAATTAGGCTTTAATCCTGCAAAGGATCTTACATTTATGCCAGTATCTGGTCAACTTGGTATTGGTCTTAAGGATCCTATACCTGAACATTTATGTAATTGGTATAGCGGTCCTCCATTCATACCTTTTATTGATTCCTTACCTTCGCTTAATCGTAAAAGTAATGGGCCCTTTATTATGCCAATTGTTGATAAATATAAAGATATGGGAACGGTTGTTATGGGAAAAGTTGAAGCTGGAGAAGCAAAGAAAGGCCAATCGCTATTGGTTATGCCGAACAGGGTAAGAAATATGTTCTTTATTACTGTACTTGCTAATGTTCAATTTTTTCATAATGTAGTACTTACTAAAATCATATAAAATGGATTTTAGACGGCAGTAACAGTTGATCAATTATGGTCAGATGATGAAGAAGTTACGTCGGTTGGACCTGGAGAAAATGTTAAAATCAAATTGAAAGGCATTGAAGAAGAAGACGTGAGTCCTGGATTTGTTTTATGTGACAGTAACAACCCTATTAAAACCGGAAAAGTTTTTGATGCTCAAGTTGTTATTCTGGAACATAAGAGCATTATTTGTGCTGGATATAGCGCGGTAATGCACATTCATTGCGCTGCAGAAGAAGTAACGGTGAAGGCATTGATCTGTTTGGTAGATAAGAAAACTGGTGATAAAAGCAAAACAAGACCAAGGTTCGTTAAGCAAGATCAAGTGGCAATTATGAGAATTGAATGTGCAGGAGTTATATGTCTGGAAAGATTCAAATTATTTGCCCAAATGGGAAGATTTACACTTAGAGATGAAAGTACGTATATAATATATTTTATTTTGTTGGTTTAAACAATTGTACTCATTTCAATAAATTGTGAATATTCTGAAATGATATATTAGTAAATAATATTAATACGATTATAGATAAAACAATTGCCATCGGTAAGGTGCTGAAAGTGGTGGAATAAAATGTTCATCCATAATCACGAAGTAAGGATGCAAGCCAAACGATATGATACAAGGAAACAAAACCGGCATAATGGACTATTCCCGAATGTTAGCTAATGTAACATACACTCATTAATGCAAAAGGTTCTGCATATGACGGTACACGCGCGTGCATATGAACAGAGATATGGGCATCAAGGCTGGGAAAGTATGACCTAAATTGGAAAATAGATTCCATCGCAAAAGAAAATAAATAAGGAAACAAATACGGCTCGAGAGCGTGTGTTCCTTTTATTAGATAAGAAAGTTGGTGGCACTGGAGAGTTATTCCTTGCATCGGAATAAGTAATATACAATACTAACAGACTTTCCTCTTGACAATGTAAAACACGATATTTTTATTCGTCTGAGGTGCAAAACATAATTGAGAGCAAACAAGAGAATCGATATCGATGGCAGAGTAAGAATAAGAAATATGATCGACATTATAATAATTATTAAATAATTATTAAATTGGTGGTAAGGGAGGTGAAAAAGAAATTTATCAAATAAATAAAAAAACTAGCGTTACACAACAATTTATAATTATAAAATTAATATTATTATTATTACGATTATTATTATACTGTTTCTTATTTTATTGTCATTAAAAACAAATTTGCAACACACAAATCTGCTCTGATAATTTTGATAGGTCTCTCACATATATGTTAATTTCGTTTGGGAGTGGGAAATATGTGATATTCCTCAAAGTTGATATTTTTCGTGGGATGCTGAATGAAAGATATCAGATTGTCGGTATAACATAATTAAAACTTACAGGTTTTGAATTATTAGCAAAAAATTGTAATTTGTTATACATATAGTTATGTAGTTACGAGCCTACCGTAAAGTTTATAGTTTATCTATATTCTTGTAAGTACTGAGAATTTTTAACTATAAATATTGCAAAAATATCCTTATTGCATTCTTACTATATTATTTATAAAGAAAATAATAAAAGAATATAACTGCTACATCTTAGAAACGCTCAGATCATGCTTTGAAGACCACCTTCAAATAGAAAAACACGAAAAGTTATGTATGATTATGTACAATGTAATTGCATGCAATCTACTTTGCTATTATTTGCAAATGTGATTAAGTAATTTTATTGTTACCACTGTAAACATATCAGTTTCTAATTTTTTAATTATTAGTTATAGTAAAATCGTAATGCATTTTATTTTACTATAACAAATGTCTTATTTTTTAATCTTGCTTGCAATTATAGTAAATAATGTGAATTTAATTTTATATGAGTCTAAATGTGACAATTGTAAGTTTAAGCTAATTTTTTAAATTGCAATTATAAATTAGATCATAAAAAACAATCGAGAAAATAATAGATTTTATAAGAATCATACGACATGTCATTTATTTCACAATATACAGTCCGTTTGCTTTTTGAGTACTTCGAAATGATTTGCCTAACAATATATGTTATTAACAATGTTTAAACATATACGTATATATAATGTTTAAAGTTACTAAGTCAGAATATAACCAATGATTTATTTTTTTTTCATTTTCTTATTTTTTGTATTATTTCTCGAAATAACTATGATATGAGTGGTGAAAGTGCAAATATATATAATTACATATTGGCAGCTTTTATTATAAACGATTAATTCTATATATAATGAAAAAAAATTATAGATGAAAAATACGTTTAGTTCATCTTAATTTATGATATATACTTTTATGATCTTATCTGTCTATGTGTATATATATCCTAAAAATAAAATAATCAAATATTTTATTTTGCCAAATTATATTAAAGATTCTATTATAACGAATAAATAAATTCATTTATTAATAAAATATCAATACTTACAAGAACAGAATAGATCATGAAAAACTAGAATTGCTAAGTAATTTGTTACTATTTTTTGCTAATAAAAAAAAACCGATGTATCCGCTGCACTCTTCTTGTTTTCAACTTTTTAACCTAATTTTCCATTAAAAAAGCTTACATAAACATATAAGGACATACACAAATGTCAATTTTTATAAATTTTACAATTTTCCATTCATTAATAATGCTTTAAGCACTTTACTCCGTATCAATACGATATAATACACGTGAAATTAAAAATATAATAAATTATACTTGTATACTTATTTTTAATTTTATAATTATGATTAGATAAGAAAAGGATAAAAAAAAATACAAATAATATCATATTGGGTAATGTAATATTTAAATAACAATGAATTATTATTTTTCTATTATTTTATTTTATCTAAATGCGAAATTCTTTTTATATAAAAACAATTATTAATTTAATTTCAATACAAAAATGATTGAATTCCATATTATACGAGATTTATTGTACCGAATACAAATTAACTATCTCTATTAACTTTTCTTATAAAAAAATGTTTAGATTTGAAAGAATACGCAAATTATAGAATTTTTCAAATAACGCATCTCATTTTTATAAAAAAAAACATTGTTAAAATATCATTAAACTTACATAAAGAAATTTGATTTTAATGTACCTTGCAACATCAACGACAGATTGAACAACACATGAAGTTGGAAGATAATGTCATGATCCCGTCTACAAAGCAATTGGTGAGTCCTAAGGAGGAACTACCTCCATGAGCTATATGCTTCTAGAGATAATAAATAGATATATTAATGTTTTTACGATAGAAATAACTATGCGTAATTGTAAGAGAATTATGAAAACAAAATTTTAATGCTATGTTACATGAACTTAATTCCTGCCAACGAAGAAGACCCATATCATAAAGAGAAGTTACTAAATATATTTATATGTAGTTAAAACGTTTTATTTATTAAATTATTTTATATGCTAAAGAGAAAAATACAATCACATCATTCTTTCATGTATATGATAATGAATCTTTGTTACTTATTTTTCGATCATTAATAGTTAACAGATTGTTTACAAATTTATGCACAAGAACGTGTATTCATGCCAATATTCTGTATAATATATTGCATTACTTTTACATACTCTTTATTATTACACTTTGATACCTTTATTTCCCTCTCTCAGGTTTGTGATATATTTAAATATATTCACAAACGTGACCGCAACCAGTAGGACATTGACGATTACTACGAAACCATTCTTTTAAATGCATCACATGTCCTCCATGTGTGCAACCTTGACACCATGCATACAATCCTCGAACAACCTACAATTAAAATAATTATTATTTTCAGCAGTCATTCAATAATAATTTTATCAACTGTTTAAATTAATATGTACTGTATTACCTGATGGCAAATAGAACAAAGGGCATGTTTGGATGAATGACAACGGTCACACAACCACGCTGCTCTTTGTAAAGGTTTAGTACATGTTAAACAGCATGCATGTATAGTTGTTGATTGTTGATTTAGTTGTGCAATAGATGGAATCCATGCTGACTGTATTATCTATAAAATATTAATACACAGACATACAAATTTATTAATATGCTTTAAAGAAAAAAGATGCTAAATTTAGTTATATTACAAACCTGTGTAGTCACATTCCAAAGTTTAAATCTTCCCAATAAGTCTATATATTCTAATAGCCAATGTTCCTGAATTGGTATGTCAATATTTAAACCTTTTCTTTTTTCACCCAAAGCAATAAGAACAGATGCAGAAGTTTGAATATCCCTAAGTGCTGCATGATGTTTTAGCGCTTCTTCAATCAAATGTGTAGGATCCCAGAATGATGGTTTCGGTATAGCTGTTACTATTAGTTGACATGGCTGATCATCAACCATTACAGAAACAGAATCATCATTGATTTCTGGAGAATGATTAGGAAACTGTTCTGGTGGCGGAGATCGATCTTTTATTTCATGTCTTAAAGGGAATGCTTCCTTAGGTAATGTCCAGTCACTATCATCATTTATCATATTTTGAATGTATCCAGTACTGTAGTCTGTACTAATTGGTTCAAATTCGCTATCACCAAATAGAAAATCTCCTTTAGGTTGACCTTTATGTCCCATAAAGGACTTCCTGTAACTTTGTTTCTTTTAGGATGTGTAGCTACACAAAAAAGTCTCTCATATTATTAATATGATTAATTGAGGATTACCTCGGTAATATGCTACTTATAAAGTTTAAATTTTCTGGCGTATCATCTGTTTCAGTTTCATCATCACCACCGCTCGTCGCACTAGTAGGTGCTTCTCCTTGCAAAGATTTGATATCATTTTCATGTCCTTAAACAAATTATAAAGTCTACTGTGCGAACGAAAATAATTTCGACTTAACAGGATAATCATGCCTACAACTAATACGATTGGAAAGAATTAAATTTAGAAAAAGTTCGTATGATAAGATTACAATTAGATTCATATATTTAACATATAAATATTATGAAACAATAATTGTAATTATGAATTAAATAATATAATTTACCTGGATTTGACTGATCAAGAGCAGATACTTTTACCATTTGTCCTAAATTTAAAGTGTTTACTATATCTTCCTTGGAAACAGTTGGAGGAGTTTTTAAAATTGCACCTAATGGATTTGTATATAATGTTTTTATAATATTCCAAACAATGCTTACCTAAAAAAATATTGTTATTGAAATTATTCTTACAGCTACAATCAAATGTTATTACTTAATTTATTATTTAAACTAAACTGAAGGAAATTACATAGTAGTTTTTATTATAAATACAAGCTTACATCATTTCTACCTGCATTGCTGGCAACAGCAGCATTATGATCACAAATATCTTTTAATTTTCCAGCAAGTATGTAACCTTCAGCACATATTTTAAACCAAGTTGGATCACGTGGTATATTTACAACAAATCTGTGCATCACACTTGAAGCCATACAGAATGTATCATTCATCGCTGGTGTTTTTCTATTGATAAATGAGTATATATTAATAAATAATAAAAAAAATAAAATATTAAAATATACAAACCTTATTATATTAGTTAATTGCTTGACTGTACTAGGCATATTTACATTTACTTTGCAGGCATAAGCAACGTCTCCGATGGGACTTAAAGCAATGCCTTGCGGATTCGCTTTACTAGCTGGTCTAGAAGCATCTTTGAATACGTGATGATATAAAGTGCAATCCTGAATATAGAAAATATATAATTATTTTCTAATTATGAATTCAAAAATATAAAGAAAAGGAAAAAAGGCATTGACATTACCCTGCTTGTTGATAGGAATGATTGTGGATTTCCTCTCCATGCTACACCAGTAGGAACATCTTTGTGTTCGTTAAAACTAGCAAATGGAATATACGGTCGTTGAATGTCCCATACATTTATACTACAATCCACAACCAAAGCACAACTTGCTATATGATATTTTCTCTGTGGTCTCCATTTTATTCTTCCTACTGAAGCTATCGTGTGTATAGTATAATCACAACTTGGTTTTACAGATAAATCCCAAACCTTTTAGCATGACAGAAAATATAAACAATTAATTAATATACAATAATAAGAGACATCTTTTTTTCTTAATAAAATTGTAATACAATTTATTTTATTTTTGATAGAAAAGAAAAAACCTTTATAGTTTTATCTCTAGATGCTGTTGCTAGCCAATTAGTTTCAGGATGCCAATCGCAAGCAAATATTGGTCCACTATGTGCAGTAAAATGTTGAAAGTAGCGATCATGTTTTCGCAAATCCCACTGTTGAACATGGCCATTTTCAGAAACAGCAGCAAAAGTATGTGGTTGATGAGGACAGAATTGAACATCTCGTACAGACTCCGTATTACTAAGATTTCAAAGCTTTACAATAGCTGCAATTTATCACTGACAGGGTCAGTAAGAATTTATCTGCATTCTTTTCCTTGAATTTATTTGCTTATAAAATATGTTTCTTAAATATATATAAATAAGTAAAATTTATTCATAATAAAATAAACAAATTATATTCTTCCAACCCTGTCAAATGTAAAAGTAAAATGATAGTCGAATAAAATGATTTGTATTTTACCTATAAAATGTTTTTGTAGCTTCCTTTATACGTAAATCAAAACATTTCATAGTTCCATCCTGTGAACCAGATATTAGCCACATAGGTTCTGTCATATGAAAGCTAACTTTATTAACAGTTCTTTTATGATCAATGAAAACATGTTCTTGTTTTGATCTTGAAGATTTATTTAAATTCCATACAACTACTGCACCATTAGTAGCGGCTGTTGCCAGAATATGGTCTTAAAATAATAAGAATTATATATTATGTTATTGTACCAATATAATCATGTTACAGATGTAAGAAATGATTAATAATATATGTAATATAATTTCGAGGTCACTATATATTATTTTTCTAATTTTAAAGATACTAATGCATACATAATACATATATATAATAAAAATTATAGCGAATTAAATACTATACCATCAATAAGGTTCCATGCAACGTCATTGCATGAAAAATTCAAGTTTAAATTTTTTCCAACTCTCAAATTACATGATTCTTCAAACCTGTCTTCCATTAATGTAAATATTTTGAATACTAGAATGAAAAATCAATGATTATAAAATTACGACAATTAATATTATAATAAAAAATAAATATAAATAATTGAGAAAATGTTACCATTACGTCCAGCTATGACAACTTGGCTATTATCTTTATTAAGAGCTAAAGCATTAGCTGGACCCTCTTGAGTAATGCATACAGTTTTAGACGTCATACTGGAGTCTTATTGTATTAAATGTCAACTAACAACAATAACTTTCATTTTTCGTTTATCATTTCGTAGATTTCTGAATGGCGAAAAAATATCAACATAAACATTAGCGTGAAATCATTGTAACTACATAACTATGACAATCTTGTCAACGTTATAAAATTGACGCCGAATTTTTTAATAGTTTTCTTTCATCGTAATGATACCGATTTTTCGTTCATTTCTCTTCTTTTATTTCCAAATATTTTTATTCGTATAATTACATAATGAAATTAATTTATATAATCAAATGTATATTTCTAAAAATAATTGTAAATCTGCCAAAAATAAGAGTGCATTGAATGTTTATTTTCATTAGGTTGCAATACTGATATGTTGGCGCATGGTTGATTAAACAACCGATATCTTCATTTCTTAGGAATTTTAGGAATTTTCTGTGTTTTGACTGACTTCAACTTGTTGTGATGGAATATTAATTTTCTTTTTCATTGACAGATCTTATCCAATAATTCGACCAACGAATTTTAATTTTCTGTAGAGAAATAATAAGGACGGTGAAAATGTATGATGTATGGTTCGATGGGCGCATGTTTGGTTGTTTATTTTGCCTCCTGGTCCTTCAGGCAAATTTAACAAATTCTAGAACTTCTTGGAGACTTAACGTCGATAAAGTTGTTAAGGCAACAGAACTTGTAAGCACTATCGAAGATGATCCTATTTTTGATATACTTGCAAGTAGTATAGGCAATGGACAAGGATGGAGTAAAACAGCAGCATCAGAGAAGCTTGATAAAGTACAGGTTTATTACGAGTGCAAAAGTTTTGGTTCAGGCAGCCAAGATCGGTAAGAATATTAAATAAATTCATGATTAATAAATGATTGGTAAGAATCTGTATGTGCATGTTTTTCAATGGATATGCATCCAACGATGAATGTATCGAGCATTACTTTAACAATAAATTGCATATTATTACTGCACATATTAATAAATCAGTTCTTATTCAATTAGAATAGTTGTAAGCAAGAATATTATCAGCATAAATAGCATCTACGATAATTTCAATTTATTCTTATCCCGCGAACCTCTGTTTAAGTTTTTTATTCTAATTCATTTCCATTCCACTATACATACGTTTCATATAATATTGTTTTTAGTTGTATGTTTGTATGCATTTTAATGTCTATTTATCTACTTTTCTTTTTCTCTCTTTCTTGTTTTTCTGCTTAACGATTAACTTTAACTAACAACTGGGATAAATTGGAGGTAACAAAACAGAATATAATTTAATCTGGCTTTGCTTTATTTCCATTAATTTTCATATTATCGTTTATGGATGTTATTAAAGATATACATAATTTTTGTTAATACTGTAGTGCAAAATAAATCTGTAATATATGTTAATGTACATATTGTTATGATATGACGAGTCAATAACATCAAGTTTTTGAATGTGCATATATACTTATAATTTTTGTTATACAATATCCTGTGAATGTTTATGTAACACTATATTTTTATTGCAGAAGCATTACAATGTATCTGATGTAATTTTCTTTTTCTTCCCGTAGTTAGTGTTTGTGTGTGGCTTGCTGTTCTTTCAGCGTTAAAAGAGCCCTAACTTTCGTCCCCTTGGCAGACGATTCATGTCATATGCATTGACGGATGCACCAAATTCTACGGAACCATATCCACTATCACCGCAAGTATTGAGTGACCAAGTGATATGTACGCCCGATCAGCAATGTGAAGATGTAATTCTTGATTGTGGGAAACCAGTTAACTATACATATTATGACAATCTCACTGGTGTTGCAAATAGAAATAATCATCCATTGGTACCAGAGCCTAACGTTGCACTTATGTTTAAAAAGAATAATGGAAAAGCTATAGATGTTGACTTATTAGAAAGGCGTTTAAAAAAAGCAAAACGAGAAGTATGTTTTACTTAATTGTGTTATTTTACTATGTACACATTCAACATAAATACATTTATTTGTCTATCATTGCTTTTGTTTTCTATAGAAACCGAAATCTGTTCAGCTATATAATCAAATTGGAAATTTTTGGAGAATAAAAGGAGATGCGCAAAGATCAATTGAATGTTTTCGAAGAGCTCTTGCAGTTTCACCACATAACGCGGAAGTGCTATTAAATTTAGCAAGAGTACTATTGGTTTTACGATATTTAGATGATGCAAATTATTTAGCAATGCGTTCTTTAGCATTACAACCTCCAGATCGTAATGCATGGGAACAATACCTAACACTTGGACAAATATTATCGGTGAATTTACGTCACTTGCATAGGCCTATAGTTAAATATTTTGTAGCATCTTTTTCTATTTTTTTCTTTTTGGAAAATTATTTATTGTGCATTCATTTTAAAGTTATATGTACTCTTTCTAAACTATTTTATAATTACTAATGTAAACATATACCATTTATTTAGGCATATGGTCACTACCAAGAAGCTGCTGTCCATTTGCGGCATGCTTTAGAATTGAAACCTAATCTTTCTGATGCTGCAAAAGCTTTAAAAGAAGTGGAATCATTGCCTGGTCCTAGTATACATATCTACACTCTTTTAATTATTATATGCTTGGTATGTATGTAAAGTAATACGTAATCTTAATTTTAAAAACGAATATTAATACAGCGATTCTTAAACATTATCGAACATTCAACCGTTATTTTTACAAACTTTTGTAAAAAAGATATATATATATATATATGCATATATCTTTTTTTACAAAAGAAGAATAGAATACGTGCATACGAAAAATTATAATCATTAATACAAGTCAATTGTCAACCATTTATACAAATTTAACTCAAAAATAATGTTTAAACTATCAATGAAAAAACAATTAGTTTTGCTATTTAATCACAACCTTACTAATACACAGAGTTTGCTTAAATTTTAGTTTAAGAAACACTGAATTAATAATTGTAATTTACTTGTATTCATATTATATATATAAGGCTTTTCAAAAATTTTTTAAATAAAATATAACTTACTATGTTATATATGTTTACATCAGGTGCTAGGTGTATTGTTAGTTGTTTTGAGTAGCGTGGAATGTGACGAAGATTCCACTTTGGTTACTGAACAACTACAACGTCCAGTTCAACGTCATTTTAGTCGTGCAATGGCTATGCGTAGTTTGCGACTTAATGTTGCACGTAATAATAAACGTTCTTGATCCAATTCGAATTCAAATTCAAATTCAAATTTATGAAATCTAATGGAGCAAGTTCTGAACTGTTATAACAACATGATTTTTTGGAGTATTATTTATAATTATGATTTGTTATAGTTATTTAAATGCACTAGTGGTTACGTGGTTTATTATATCTACAGATAAAAATATACACCATAGTACACGTTGGCAATTTTTGCATTAATTAAATTAATAAACCTTCATTATACACATTGATCCTATATACCTAGAATGATCTATTTTTAAAAAAATGCAAATCCTGGAATGGCAATGATTCAATTATAATACATATAGTGCTAAAACATACAATTAAATCTTTTGTTAAACATTTTTAAAGACATCTACAAATTTATATTCCATATGTATTATGTACAGGAAAAAATTTATTATATATCTGGTTTTTTTTAATTATTTTTGACATTTATAAACAAAAATGTTTATTTTTTTTTTTAACATATTTAGAATCAATTTTAGGGAACATTACTACTTTCAACATTTCATTACATCTTTACAAGTACTTGTCGTACAAGTACATATTTTCCATCATTTTAATAAAGTTTAAGTTAAGTTAATTTCGATTATAATACATCTGAATGTTTACCACAAATCTACTCTTAAAAGAAATGATAATGTTTACATACTGTTAATCTTTATAATATAATGAAAGATCTATATTAAAAAATTCTGCACACCTAATCATATGTACAACATAATTTGAGTGACTCATAAGTAATTGTTTTTAGAAGTATAATGTCTCACAAAGCTTAAGGCATACTGAAATATTAGGCTCTTTAGTTTTCATATTATATACAAACATCAGAGACTTGGACACAATATTTATTGTGAATATCTGTACTCTTTCAAGGACTACAAAGAATGCATCTATGAGATGAGAAATATGTAATGATTTGTTTAATAACAATAAAGTATAAAGTATAAATAAAACGAAAAATCAAATAAAACAAACAACAAGATTTTGTTGTTGCTGTTGTTTGGTTGATGTTAATATTGTAATTAAAGCAAATAAAATCTTATACAATTAAGTACTGATATCAAAATCATATAGAATTCATGTATGCATCATACATAGATGCATCCTTCATTTGCGTTAATTTATCCCTTAAAAGATAACAACGTAGATATATTTAAGAACACATGCAAATGTAACTTTATACATTTGTGCATGTATTAAATAGCATATGCTATTAATGATATATTTTTGACCAAATTAAAATTGTACCCAACTGGCATTTGCTACAGTTGTACTAGGTCCCGACGATTGTTGAGATGCACTAGCGAACTCACCCCATTCTGAACCCGTTGATGCTTGATTTGGATTTGGAGCTGATTTATGAGCTGGGGACGAAGTTGGAGTTTTAGCAGGCGGTGGAGCAATTTTGACACCACCTGGCGGAGGTGGCAAACCAACACCTAAATTAGGCCGTTGTTTTGATTTCGATACAACTTCGCTGCCATCTTTTTTCTAAATAATAAAATATATATCCGTTATTATTTTCATTACTATAGAAGACTAAACAAATATTCAAATATTCTTACAGTTATCTTCATATTAATTTTAATAGTTTCTCCTTCCTTAAATCGAAGATCCAATTCTTGTTTAGGTGTTTCTTTCTCTTTCTCTATCTGATCACGATTTTTAAGCCACTTAAAATGATCCTGTAGCGCAACATTTAAATCAAAACTATCTGATCTGTCTAAAAAACCAACTCCAATGAAAGCAGATCGTCCATTGTCATTTTGAATTCTTAACACAAAGTATCTAGAAGAATCTGTGACTGGTTCAACCGCTATTCCAGGATATTGTTCGATTGGACATTTAGCAAATAATTCACCCGTAATTTTATCTTCCAGTTTTATAGCAATAGAATCTCCCTGAGATACTAATCTCATTCGTCCTGTCCATGAAGGTTCTTGTAGATTCCAATCAGCTGCTCTATGAATAAGAAGTATATGAATTATATTTTTATGAACAATTATACGTGTATATAGATATAAGGTTTATACAAAACTGTAATTTGATAACGAATATTCAACAATGTACATGTCAATTCTTAAACAAATGAAATAGTGGAATTGCAATAAAATATGTTAATGTTACACTCACATGATACAGATAAATTTTTAACATAAAACTATTTCATTAAATTTAACATTGAAACATAAAAGGAAATATGTAATATTTTTATAATAAAGCTTTTTCCAAATGTACAAATGACAATGTCAATAATGAAGATAACAATAAATATATTTGAATCGTTAAAATGATATAAAATTAGAACAGTTATATGTCAGATCGAATACTTGGTTAAAATAATTTCTTCTTACCTATAACCTCTATTAGTTGACCTTGGTGGTATTTTAAACACAAATACTTCCGATTTAACAAGTAAAACACTTTCATATGTCTCCATTCTTATTTCGAGTATAACAGATGTGAAGCACGTAAAACTGACAACTGGTCTTATGTCGTCGTATGATTTGAAAATTCGTTTATGTTTTCTCACGAATCTTTGCCGTGATTTGATAACTCTATCTCAAGTCACGCCTCCAATCCCCAGACATCATCCGTTCACCACAGATTATTTTAGAAGAGATAATAGATTGTCCCTTATATTCTAGACAAGAAATATTCACGTGGATTAATTTAATGTTTAATTTATACTACATTCTCTCTATGTAATTCTTTCTTATATTCTGTCACAAATAAATAAAAAACGATAACATTTTTGAATAAAATTGGAAAATATTATTATGATACGTACCAAGAACTACACGTAACAGTAATAGACTAGACAACTACCTTCGTGTAATGTTCTTGACATTAAATATATAAATGTATAACAAGTGTTGTCAAATAAATGAATATATTGAATATATGTCGATGATTAGAAAACTTCATTACCTACATTTCAATATTGCTGATATTAATGTACATACGTAAATGAAATATTAATATCTCGTAATATATTTTCAACTATTTAGTTTATAGTAAAAGATTTTGACAAATGATATCCCAGAGGGAGTAGTGATTGTGAGTAAGATAATATACGTGAAAGTATCTTATATCTTTTTATACTTACAATTATTTGAAGAAAGATATATTTTAAGGGACATTCTCAAATCATCTAACAACGACACTAGCGACTCTAATTTGATTCTGTCGTCGAATAAGTCAACGTGTAACTTGAATACTTATTTCAATGTTTCTAATTTTTATCAATACTTCACGCAAAAAGAGAACATTTGTTCGATTATTTGAATGGAAGAAAGTAGATCGAAAATAAATAATTTACAAAATTCTATTAATCGTTCTAAGAATGTTTATAAAGAAATACTCATTCGTACCACTCACATTACGTACTACATTGATAACTGCTTTTGTGACTGTTTAGTTATATGTTTTGGTATAAGAGAGCGTCTCGTTTGTTGGTTGCTCAGCTGTTTTGAAGAATCGACGCGGCTACAGCCGCCTGGCAGTGACTGCTCGTGATTCGACGTGTGATCGCTGTTTTCACGTCCAAACGCGAACAGATGTGGAGTGACTGTCCAAATTTCTGACATATCTTAACCACGATTCTTTAAACAGGATCTTTTTTCTACGTTATTAATAATACTTAACGTTAATTCGTGAGTGAGTGTGTAATATTTGCCTTATACAATCAAAAAACGAAATATACACAAAAACAAAAAAGAAGAAGAAGAAGAAAAAGAAGACAAAAAAAAAGAAAAGAAATCGCCATGAGCGAGTTAACTCAAGAAGAAGTAAGTATTAATATTCTCGTACTTAATCCCGCTATTTCGACGCATTAAATCGTTATTGCCATTTTTAAATTATCTTTATTTTATATTTTTCTCATTTTTCTATCCAATTTTATTTAATGATTGAATGTCCTACGACAGGCGTATCCGTTTTAACATATCGCCAATGTTAGTTTATTTCAAATATTTCATTTGTTAGAGAAATCATTTAGTTTACGTATTATATCGAGGAATCGAAGCATCTAATAATTATATAACAAATACGTTGTAAATGTAAGCTTCTATGTTCTTAATACGATGCTGTTTAGAACAATGACAGATCAAACAATGAATATGTATATAGGTTTACATCGTACGTTTACATGCACCTACATATATCACACGCGTATATGACTTTTACAATGATTTTTTATTTTTTAATAATATTATTATTTTTTTTTTTTTTTAAGATACAACTAAGTATAATAAATGTAATAATAAAGCAGTAATGACGAAGCTTTGAACGAAATATTTTTCATTATATATATATATATATATATATTATATATATTCTTTCGTTTCTTTGTCCATAGCAAGAAAACAATGATCTTGGAAATGTTTCAAAAATTTAATCAATTTGAAGAAAAATAATAAGAATTTTATGCATTCACATGCTATTTGAAATATCTTTGTTTTTGCATATTGATATACGAATGTTTTTGTTTTTTTCGTTCAACTATATATATATATCATCTGTTATTTATCATTAAAAAAGACATTGCATAATTTATCTTTTATTTATTTACCGATGTAGTTTGTTACAGTGCTTACAATCAAATAATGCTGAAACTATAAACTGCATTATATGCGATTAATAATTCTGGAGATTCTTTGTTTCCAATTTTTCTACGAGTATGTATCTTTGTAGATAAAGTATTATGAGATGATTTTTCTTTAAGTAATACACTTGTCAATTATATACTCGAATGCATGCATTGTTCTTAGCTTTAATATTTTAATAATTATCCATCGAGAAGAGCCATATACTTCATTAATACGATTCTATAATAACATACATTTTAAGAAAATATTAACTTTTCTATGTCTGTTATTTTTTCTTTTTTTTCTTTTTTAAAAAAGTGCTCATAACAATTTTCTTATTACAAATATAATATCTACTTTTAAATTAGATTCATATATTAGTTTCAACGTTTGCTTTCTTTTTCTCTGTAATAATATCATAACAGTAAATGCAACACAAATTTCAAATTTAATATTGTTTATGTAAAGTAATACGTAAGACAATATAAATAAAATAAGTGCATAGAGCAGTTATTTGTTTAGTATTATCAGTTTAATTAGCAGTTTTTCTATTGAAATAACTTTTAACGAATTTTAATAAAATATCTAAAAACAAAAGATACAATCTTTTTTGTATTTATCATTTTTAATTTCCTTTTATTTGACACATTTACATTATATAATTCATATGATTATTTTTTAATTATCTTATTTACTAATGTATATTGGGTTTTATTTTTATATTCACAATATATTTTAGATGAGAAGAAGGCGATTAGCGCGGTTAGTGGGTTTAGACACCAGTTGTCCAACTAACAACTCTAGTAACAATGGAGGTACGATATCTCCAAGTACACCAGGCCCATCAAATCCATTTGTAGGATCTATAATGTCTCCAGCTATACAACAACAATTTAATAATCAAGAAATTCCAATGGAGGTTGAAGAAACTAGTGAGAAACAATCTGGTGTAGATGTTGATTCTGGAATTGAAAATATGGAAGTTGAAGATTCGGACAGAAAAGTGTCACGTTCACGTGTAAGTGTGCTTTTATTATATACAAATTTCTACACACACACATCGTTTAATTAAATTATTTAATATTTATTGTTATTTTTTAGACAACAAGTTCTAGCACAGAAGTGACCACTGAACAAATTCATATTGTTATATCACGAGTATTGTGTGTATCGTGGAAAGAATCGTTAGAAGGAACAGTAATTTTACCAGACATGTCAGCTTACGCACTCATTCACAAATTAACCGATGTCGCGGACATTATCAATCAAGCTATTATGGAAGTTTTATATATGTTTTCAAGAGGAGAAGATCCATTTAAAAAAATAATTTCAGAAATGTCATCCGATCGTGAAGACAGTCCGAACAGCCAAACAAGTCCTTTGTTGAGTCCAGTAATGACTGCACCATCGTATCAATTACCAACATTACCATTACCTGCTGGAAGTAAATCATTGCAGCCTAAAAGTCTTATTTATTTATTAGATTCATATTCGCGAGTTGCAATAGAAGAACGTAATCATCCTAAGGTATAAATCATATTTAGCATATAAGTGAATCGTTAAATCGTAGATTTCAATCTTTATTCATTCATATTTATTTGTAAACTATAATCATAATGTTTAATGTATGTCATGTGTATTTGATTATTTTTATGTTAACAGCGATCAAGTATACCACCACTTTCTGATGTACTATCAACTCTGCGAGCTCAATGTGTTCAATACTCAAGTCTTGTTTTACAAGGTCTTATAGGGATTTGTCAAAACTCTGTTACACCAGCTTATATCTCACCACTTCTTCATCCAATGCTCTCGCAGAGTTTGCCCCGCGGTTACTTGCACGAACTCGTAGCTAGAACACATACGAATTCAAATATCTTCAGTAAAATTTTCACCCCTTTACTGCAAGGCCTCTATCTTTCAATGCAACAAGCTAGTCTGGTTGGTAATACACATCGAAGACCTATAGAAGCACTTGAAGAACTGATAGAGATTCGTTGTGGACCTAACGGCAATATACGTCCCATATGTCGTCTAATCACCCACCAAGCACAATTTTTACCTGATGTAATGACGAATGCTGCTGGAAGAGAACTTACAAGGACTTCATTTCTCGGACCATTTTTATCAATTTCTGTGTTTGCTGAAGATCAACCTAAAGTAGCCGAAAAATTCTTTAGTGGAAATCCATTTACTGATAAATCAATGAATTTAACATTACAGCAAGAATTAGAAAGCACGAGAACTTCTTTCCACAAAATGCTTCATGCGATACTAGCAAATAGTAATTGCCGCGATGCTATGTTAGCATATTTAGCAGCATTATTACGTCACAACGAAAAGCGTGCCCAAATACAAACTGAAGAGTTTTCGCTTGCTGGAGATGGATTTATGCTAAATTTACTCTCAATATTACAAATGCTCTCGGTTAAAGTCAAATTGGATACGATTGATCCTTTGTATCCATTTCATCCTTCTAGTTTCGTTGAAATAAAAAATGACACAAGACTGAAACTTTCTTCTCAAGAAGTTACAGAATGGCTAAAGGAATTAGAAAAAACACATAAGTGGGTTGAAGCTAAATTTCCAACACAATGTTGGTTTCTTACATTGCACTGTCATCATATAGCATTGTTACCAGCTTTACAAAAGTATCAAAGAAAATTAAGAGCTCTGCGTGATTTGCAAAAAATGATCGATGAATTACAAGCATCCGAACCTCAATGGAAAGATGCTCCATTTGCTGGACACAACAAAGAATTGTTAAAGCGATGGAAACAGCAACTAAAACGTCTTGGTAAATCCAAATCATGTGCAGATGCTGGTTTGATCGATCCTGTGCTTCTAAGGAGATGTTTGCATTTCTATATTTCTGTTGCTGAAATTTTACTTAGTCTTTTGACACAGAGCTCAGCTAGTAGTCCGTTTCTTGAACTTCCCTTGTCACAAGAAATTCCACATAAATTTACAGCCCTACCAGAATGGTATGTGGAGGATATTGCAGAATTTTTATTATTTACTATTCAGTAAGTTATTCATGTAATTTTGATAAATCTAATATAGATATCATGTTGCCTACACATAATAACATATGTATCTTCTCTTACAGATTTTGTCCAACAGTAATAGTAAATAATATGGACAATTCATTGATTACATGGTTACTTGTGGTAGTATGTACACCACATTGTATACGTAATCCATATTTAATTGCAAAAATTATTGAGGTTTTATTTGTAATTAATCCTAATGTTCAAGTAAGTATAAACAAGATATTATTGTCAATCAATACAAATTATAATGATATTAATAAATAATATCTCCAATAGGGTAGAACAGAAACATTACATGATCAAGTTATGGCACACCCAATTTCTAAGACGTATTTGGCGTCTTATCTCATGAAGTTCTATACTGATGTTGAAACAACTGGTTCCAGCTCAGAGTTCTACGACAAATTCTCTATTCGTTATCATATTAGTTTAATTCTAAAGTCAATGTGGGATAGTCCAGTACATCGGGCGTCTATTGTAAATGAAAGCAATAATGGCAATCAATTTGTTAAATTCATTAACATGTTGATGAATGACACAACTTTCCTACTTGATGAAAGTTTAGAATCATTAAAACGTATACATGAAGTTCAAGAACTGATGTCTGATCTCAATGCATGGTCTGCTCTTTCTGAAGAACAACAACAATCACGAAAAAGACAATTGACAGCGGACGAACGACAAGCTAGATCTTATTTAACGTTAGCTAAAGAAACAGTTGCCATGTTTCATTATTTAACTGTTGATATCACAGAACCATTTTTGCGTCCAGAATTAGTTGGAAGATTGTGTGCCATGTTAAATTTTAATTTACAACAATTGTGTGGACCTAAGTGTAAAAATTTAAAAGTGAGAAAACCACAAAAATATGGGTGGGAACCACGGACGTTATTAAGTCAGTTGGTTGATATATATTTACATCTTGACTGTGATAATTTTGCGGCTGCTTTGGCTAGCGACGAGGTAAGTGATACAAATATCATATTAAGAAATAATTGGTATCTTGAAGTAACTCTTTATTATTATTATTATTATTATTATTATTATTATTATTATCTGTTTTATTAAATATATACTATTTAATAAACATCTATTTCATGAAAATATGCATTTACAATTGCAGCGATCATTTTGCAAAGAATTATTTACTGACGCTGCAAATAGATTACAAAAGTCTGCAATAAAAACAACCACTGAGATTGAAAGGTTTATAGCACTTGCTGAACGAGCAACAGTGATCGCAAGAGATAATCGTGCACGTGACGAAGATTATGGCGATGCACCAGAAGAATTTCGAGATCCTTTAATGGATACTCTTATGGAAGATCCTGTTAAGCTTCCATCTGGTATTGTTATGGATAAAGCTGTTATTATAAGACATTTATTGAACAGTGCAACAGATCCTTTTAGCCGTCAACCACTTAGCGAGGATATGCTTACACCAAGTAAGTTTTTTTTATTCTCTCTTATTTTTTGTTACATAAATACTCAATTTTGTTTATATTACAATTATTTTATCTACTTTTTCTTTAAATGCAATTATTAAAGAGTATGAAAAAAATATTTAAATGCATTTTTTATTTCATCTAGTGAAGGTAATTTTATATAAATGTATTAGTAATATTCTTGATTCTTTACACATTTGGAAAACTGATTTCAAGAGCAAATGAACTGCAAATTAAATAGAAAATTTAAAACAAATTAATCATATACTTTCTTATCAAAAATTCGAAATATTTTTAGTGGCCGAATTAAAAGAAAGGATATCTATATGGAAACAACAAAAGAAAAAACCAACAAATATTTAAAAGGTGCTAATTAGAAGAGCCTTTTTATATCAACATCACCTTACCACATAGATTGCATTGATACAACATGGTACTATTTATCAGTTAATGGACGTATCAATCTAATGTGGTAGAAGTGCATTAGTGCAATGATCTCGCTACTGTGCAACTGTTGCTCTCAATAAATTTACAGTTTTTATACAATAAATATAAAACAGACTGCAGCTAGGAAACTGCCTCTATTCCTCTAAACATATTCTAGGAACATGTATATAAATACTAGCTAAGTGCTAGTGTCCAAAATTAAATGTTACTCAAAAAGTATGCTTTTCCTTCCTTTGTATGTTTCTTGATGTAGATGGCTGCGGATAAAGAATGTATCAAAGTTGTAATTGCATATTACATTGAATATGCTATTTTAAATATTATGGAATAGAAGTATTGGTATGTATCTCAGATTTTGATTAATCCAATTTTTGGGAGTAAAACGATGTTATTTAAGATAAAATTTATACATAGAATTTGTAATTAGAGATTTCAGGAGAATTTATAACAAATGAATTTCTCATTTAAATTTTGAATAACTATTTATGAGCAAATGGCTAATATTGTTTACAATGGTTATGGGTGTATGATCTTTCCATCATCGATATTATACGCAATTATTATTAAGTATTACGTAAAAATTAGAAAAGAGTATTCATAATTGTACACACTATTTTTTCTAATTTTAATTTCTAAATTATTCGTCTTGTTGATTAGTGATCTTAAATTTTTTAAAGTTATGCGTGAAAGATAGCATACATAAGTCTTGTATCGTTCATTTATAATTGCACAATTATACAAATTATCATCATTATTATTATTATATATTTTTTTCGTATAAATATTGTAAGACAGACAATGCAATTTTTGTGAATTATTATTTTCACTATTCTATTAATATTTTAAAAGCTGTAGCTACACATTCCAAAGAAAATGCAGAAGAAGAGAATATTGTTTCTTATTATATAACATTAAATTCCATGTTCCAGAATGGTTGGAAAATTGTAATATGAAATTTTTCTTTTTTTTTGTATTTTGCAAGATCATTTGAAACTTTTTCTTTTTCATAGCTGCATTTATTTTGTATCATTTTTAAGTATTATGTATAACATTGTACTTCCATGGTGCCAGATGTTGATTGTTCTTTTATAATGAGATAATCTTGTCATTATTGTAAATATGAAGTATTATAACAAATACAGAAAAAAAAGAATATTTCATAAAAAGTATAGATAACATTTGGTTATTGATAAGTATCATTGAATAAACTCTCATGTTATCCAGCCCGATTTCTATTAAATTTTGTATTTATTATAAAAACTAGTTACATAACTTCTGCACTGTCTATATACCAATCATTCAAAGTCGAGCAAATATAATTTAATGTTAAATATAAATTAATACAATCTTTATGTATGAAAATTTACATGTTTTAACACAACATTTAGTTTTATATATTTGTAATAAGAAATAAAATTATTATAATTTAGAGCAGAAGTTACATGTAAAAAATACTGTACTTCTGTTCATATTATTATTATTATTATTATTATTATTATTATTATTATTATTATTATTATGTATTAAAACTCCTGAATTGGAAATTATGATAAACATATAACAAAGTATTGATCACATTATAATCATATCACTATATTTTATAAATCAAATCAAATGTCTGTAAATGACAAAAGCATTCAATTGATAATCAAGCATTATTAGAAAAATATCCCATTATATTACACCATTTGTAAATAGCTTAAAAAAACAATTTACCCATAGATACTAATATTTGTAATGACATTTTTTATGTCTTCTGTAATGTAATCATGTACTGAAATATCTTTCCACCTTCAGGAAAGTTGCTTATTATGTTATTTGTAAATAATAGAATTGATGTACAATATGAGAGAAAATAAACACGATTTATGCAAAAAAAAAATATCTAAATAAAATAAGAAAGAAGCTATTACTTATAAAATAATAGTAAGCCTTTCTTATAAATAACAAATGAAGTAATATAGCATTGTAAACTTATATAAAATAATAATTGTAAAGAAAATGTTTATTTTTAATATTTCTTTTCACTTCCTTGCAGTTAATGTATGGTAATAATGTCATAATTAAACATTTTGATATCATTTTTGCAATACATAAGAATATATAACGAAATTCATTTATTTTGTAACTGTTTTTATTCTTTTTTTTTTATAAAAATATAAACATATGACTAAAATAACGAAGAAATAATATAATAAACCTCAATATATTTATTTATGTTCTATTAATGTTTTATATATGCAGATTATCCTGTTTCTGTTGGTATAAGCGAGCAGGGTATAACTCCACATGAAAAACTAAGTGAAAAATATAGTATAAAATTTGTTTATACAAAATGTTATTTCCGAAAAAAATAAATTGTAAAATGACTTGTACCATCAATTAGCTCAAAAAATCTTCTCTTCTCATACCAATTCTTCGTAACAAATCTGAATTAATTTTGCCTCTTCCTATTCCCATATCACTTGTTACTGATTCTATATCTTCAAACTTTATATCTTCGTCAATTTCAACTAATAGAACTTCTGAATAACCACGGGGTGGTCTTAAATCTTCATCGTCATTGTAATATTTTGAGTAATCTTCTCTGTTATTTAAGGAATTTATAGATATGTTTATAATTTCAAATAAAAATTATATATATTTAGAATATAGGATATAAAAACTTATGCAATGATACTAAATTATATATATACTCTCTTTTAACTTATATATATAAGCTAAATATATTATTATATCAAACATTTTGTAAATATATAAAATTACCTTATATTAAAATGAGGATTTTCCTTTATATTAGATACCGAATCAGATTTAAGTAATTTATCCCAGTTTTCGCTAGAGTCAATCAAATCTGTTGTTTCATGTTGCAATTCCTTTTTCTCGATTTCTTGAAGTATAAAACAAAGTAATATATTTAACATAATTGTTAATTATTTTCTATTAAAAAATATATAAATAAATTAATATATAAAGAGAGATATAATCTTGAGGCATTTGTATTTACGGTCACATAGTTCATGTTTAACTAGTTTTCGCTCTGGGCATTGAGTAATATGTTCACTTATTTCACGTTTAAATAAACGATGGGACGCATTGAAAGGACACATAACTTTATAATCACTTGGATAGTTCTATCAGAAACAAAAGAAAACAATGTGAATATAATAATATTCCATTTACTCGTAAATTTTTCTTTATTACCTTTTCGCATTTGACGATATGTTTTTGAATGCGTGATTTAGCTATTCTGTGATTTTCGTTGAAAGGACATATTACAACATTGTTATTGAAAGAATTGTACATTTTAATCGTTTCTTTGCTAGTCACTTTTTAATAATTAATAATTGTTTTTTATTATGGCTATTCACCATCTTTTGTTTGAAACATACACGGCTTCAGCGACAACTTTGGATAAAATCTGAACTAAAAGTGTAACAAGATAACAATATCCCCACCATGTGGTTACTATTTTGATATAAAAATGTTTAATGTACCATGCAATACCTAATAAAAATATTTCCGATCGGATTGTTAATTACGGAGTAATCTCTATCAAACAAGATTCGTGAATTTATATATATAATTATTGTGTATAAATAATGTACATAATATTTAAATAATTGTAAAATAAGCGAATTACCAAGATCAGTCGAGTGTTTATTTTTATTGAAATTGATGTTTAGAAGAAAGAAAATTTCATGTACAATACATTTTTAGAAATAGGTCTTGTTTAATAAATTTTTTAATAATTCTTTCAAACACTTAATCGTGTCTTTTACAAAAATATATCTTTAATAAGCATTAATATGAAAATGTAAAAATATTTATTCAATTATTGTGTAATAAAAAACTTTAACCACATTATTAGATTGTTGCTTAATTAAATGCTTATGAATATCAATTATTTGAATAGATGATTTTATTAATGATGAAATAGTCTCACGTTTGTATGGCATAATACAATATTATGTTCATTGCAGGCTTGAGTTACCACAACGTCGTTAGTAGAACCAGCAGGACTAGCGATGTATTTAACTCCACTCTGTAATTTGATAATAGCAATCATAAAAATATTTACATTTTTATTTAGTTATAGTTATAAATGTATATATTAGAGAAGTATAGAAACTAACAAGTCTAGCTCTATCCACATTATCTCTAAATGGGAAGAAAGCGTCGCTACTAATAGCAACGCCGCTTAGCTTTTTAATCCATTCTTTTTTATCATTTTCAGAGAGTTTTTCAGGAACTTCTTCATACATTGCTGCCCAAGTAGATTCGTCCATGTCTTTTCCAATAGATCCATTAACATAATTATCAATAGCATTTGAAATTTCAGCTCTTTTTACACCTTTCTTGAATTTCATACCAATTACTTTAGGATGCTGTCTAAGCCACCTATGAATATAATAATAATAATAATTAATATAATATTTTTTGTAACAAGGTTTCAATTAACATATACCATACCAATTATCAGCTTTGTCTCCAGCTAATCGTGTACAATGAATCCTTGACTGTTGACCTGCGCCAATTCCAATAACTTGTCCATCTTTTGCATAACATACCGAATTACTTTGAGTATATTTTACAGCAATAGTTGCTACAATCAAGTCTCGCATAGCTGCTTCTGATATATCTTTTACGTTAGAAACAATATTTTGGAAAGTCTGGCTATTAATAATTGCGTCATTGCGCCTTTGTTCCATTGTAAGTCCATAAAGAACTTTGTGTTCCATTAAAGATGGTTCATAAGTTGGATCAATTTGTAATATACAATAGCCGCCACTTTTTTTTTTCTTTAAAATTTGAAGAGCTTCCCCTGAATAACCAGGAGCAATTATACCATCAGAAACTTCCCTACAATTGTATGATATTAAATAGCAAGTAAAATAACATTGAATAAATTTACATTACTGAAGTAAATGTATAAATAGAAGTAATAATAATAGTAATAATAATAATAATAATAATATATTACCTTGAAATAATTTTAGCTGTCGCGACATCGCATGGATCAGATAATGCTACAAAATCTCCAAAACTAGACATTCTATCTGCTCCTCTTGCTCGAGCATAAGCAGCAGATAAAGGCGTTAATTGATTAATCAAATCATCTACTTGACATAATTTAGCTTGCACACTATCTAATGGAACACCAACTGCTGCACCTGCTGGGCTAACGTGTTTGAAAGATGTTGCAGCTGGTAATTTCAAAGCAGTTTTTAATTCTTTTACTAATTGATAACCATTTAGCGCATCACATAAATTAATAAAACCTGGAGACCCATTAACAACTGTTAACGGTAGCTTATCCAAAGTTGTAAATATTTGTGCTGGTTTCTGATGTGGATTCATTCCATATCTAAGAGTTAGTTGTGAAACGCCAGCACTGTATTGTTTACGGAAAAAGTCTGAAATAGCATTATCATATTCTGCAGTATGCGTGAATGCTTTTAATGCTAACATTTGCCTAGAACCAAATGAAAATTATTTATATTAATTTAATTGACTTAAAAATTTGTAAATATATAAAAACAGTTTAAGGAAAATCATACCTAGTTTGAGCAGATGTGTCCTTGTTAGAAGAAGTTTCTATTTCATTGATCACCTTATCGTAATCATTTGGATCACAAACAACTGTCACTCTAGAATGATTTTTTGCTGCTGCACGCAACAGAGTAACACCTCCTATATCAATATTTTCTACAGCATCCTTAATTTCTACATCAGGTTTTGATACAGTTTTTATAAATGGATACAAATTGCATATTACTATACTAATCAGATCATAATTTTGTTTTTGAAGATCTTTTTGATCCGATTCTGTGAGCCTAGCCAATATACCTGTATTCATAGATAACATAATTATATATAATATGTGAACACAAATTTTATTTCTTAATTTAGTAATAAATACTATAGAAATATCAAAAATTGTATAAACTTAAAGTAAAAGTATTAAGTTCATATAATTGTTAATTATAAATGATCTACCGGCATGAACAGCTGGATGGAGAGTTTTTACTCGGCCTCCAAGCATTTCAGGTGCTCCAGTAATATCTGATACATCTTTAACTGGTAGACCAGCTTCTCTCAATGATTTTGCAGTACCACCGGATGCAACTAAAGTTAATCCTATTTCATGCAGTTTTTTACCAAGTGGAAGTAAGTTGGTTTTGTCAGAAACACTTAGAAGAGCTATGATTAAGTATAAAAAAAATTATTAAATATATTACAATCCATTATGTGGTAAATATTTAATTAATAATTCTAAAGTATATTTATTTAGTTAAAATTTCTACCTAGTTTTCCAGCTGCCATTTTTTCGTTCACTTAGTTGTAGAAAATTGTAAAATAAGTTTTTTTAAAGAACGATTTATTGTAACAAGTTATAAAATTATGTTGTATTCGGACCAGATGAAAGAAGTTTAATGGTGATCTTAGAGGCGGGAATTATCTTTATAACTTGCTTTCAGGACCGTATCTAATCAGGGGGACTTTATATTGTTTTCTTTTTTAGGGGCGCCTATTATAAGCACGTATAACATACAGCACTGATAAACATATGTGTGACAACGTTGTAATTACATGTGTTAAGTAAAGGGCTAATAATTAGTCTCAATGTCGTAAAAAATTCGTGGACTTAAGATCTTAGAAAGAAAAAATTCTAAAAGCAATAGGTTTTATAACATTTAATGTCGTTCCTGGTCAATAGCCATAAATAGTTTAAAATTACTTTATTATGCCTTGTTGATAATATGTTTTGACCAACAATTTACGTCAAAGTATTTCGCAGTTCGTGGGTGGCCGTGTTAAATGTTATCAATATTAAATAAGATAAAGTTACTGCAATAACAGATGAATAATTGAACTTTTTAATATTCTTAATAACTAGTGTGTTTTAATTTAAGAATTGAGATAACAAATATGTTGCATATTAACTTCTCTTATTTAGATAAATATGTTACGTATGAATTATTTTCATTATTTAATTTCATTTGCAAATGTAATCTGTAAATAATATAATAAAAATAATGAGGTATATATTTTGTCGATAAGAAAGTATACACGAAATTATAAAAAATATCATTCATTAAAGATCGAAGGAAAAAAAATATGAAGAGTAAAATTTAGTGATCGAATGACCTCGTTACGTTTTTTGTGCGCAACCTATCATGCGCATCTTTCACTTTTTTGTAAGTGTGTGTATACTTGTGTGCTGCTGAGGTACACAGGGTAAAAATATTTACAGAAACTTTTCAAAGAAGTATCAGAGATTGCAATGCTGTAAATTGTACAATTTTGCTATTTCTTTGAAAAGTTTCGGTAAATATTTTTTATACTTAGAGTGAATAGATTTTAATGAAACTTATATTAAATTAAAATAGACTCTTTTGTCTACGCGTAGAATACCTTTTCGAGTTATAAATCGATTTGCAAAGATTCATGAAATGGCAAAGAAAAGTTGGCGAGTCAGGCATTGTTCATATATCCTACTGAAGGAGCCAAACCACCCCCGGCAATGATTTTTTAAAGAAAGGGTACTAAATAAAGCTGTATAGAAATAAAATGAGTTTAATTAAATATAATTTTAACAAAGCAAAGACTTTGTAATATATTGACTATGTATCATAATACAAAATGACAGAGTTGGATCATGTTATAAGTGTTAATACAAATTTTATGGAATTTCAAAACTGTTTCCAACATTTACATAAACTTTCTCGATGTATCCTTGAATGTAATAAATATGTTAATTATTCATTTCATCATATCAATACAGTTTATGTAAGATAAATTTGAAATGTGAAGTATTATTTGAAATTATAATAGTAATGAATAAAATGAATTCAAAGAGAATTAGTAAAAGAAGAAATATTAATATTAAAAATAAAAGAATATTACTGTAAGATATAGAAATTGTAGAAAAATTGATAGATTTTAAATGAATAGTAGATATATAAAAGAAAAAAAATATATCTGTTTAAAATAAAGAGATTAATAAGTGATCAGTAGAAGGCTAATATGTTTGATACATTTTGGAGGACAAATAGTTAATTAGTGCAACACGCAGTCGCAAGATGGCAGCAGTAGAGGCGTAACGAGTGCAGCAAATAGGTTTCAGTACGGACGTAAAAGGATAACGGATCGTTCGCGTTACGTTGTTTTGCCGCCATTGTCGCTGCATTTGCCGCTTTTCGCGACAAACTCGATGAATCTTGCGGTGTGTGCGTGGTCACTTCGTTGCTAGCTTCAAGATGGCCTACCGTTATTGGTTATCACTGCGCGCCACAGTGTGATTCTTCATCAAACTTTTCAGTTTTCGTTGGCGTTCCCCTCGAAAGACGCTAATCTTACAAATTATTTCAATATACAAAGAATTTAACGCAAAGAAGAGGATACAATTAAAAAAGAAGAAGAGAAGGAAAAGAAGGAAACGGAGAAGCTCGAAAATAAAGCTCGATCTTTTTTAGACGAATTGTGCGTCCAGAAACGCGGATGGCTCAGTGTTAAACCGGTAAGTCACATATTACTTTCTTCAATTTTTTCTACAATTCTTTCTTTTTCCAATTATTTACAATGTAAACAGATTATTATCTTTTTCCTAACGTTCTTGCACACTTATTTCTCGTTATCAAACTTTGTATTCTAGCCTGCGTAGTTGACTACTCTGATATCTTTCAAAAAGACTATGATGACTGTAATGAGTCAGTAAGACTGACAATGAAATAGTAGCTTGTCACAAATAAAATGATCATATTTTCCTTATATTTGTAAATAATTGTAATGCGAGTAAATACGATAGAGAAATTATTTTCATTTCTTTTCTATTTATTCATATTCATTTATTTTTGCACATTATCTTATCGTGCAATCAACATTTGCGAAAATTGATGGACAATAGTTTAATAAGTAATTTAATGAAAATATTAATCAAGTGGTCAAACTTGAAGCTTAAATTTAAACAATATTATTACAGTATTGTACTCCTTTGTCCATCTTTGTTTTTTCTTTGATTATTTGCTTACTCTCTTTCCCCCCGTTCTGACTGTCTGACTATGTCTGTCTGTTTCTCCTTCTCTCTATATATCGTCGAATACATTCGCTAACCTTGTCTTTTAGTTTGCGAGGATGTTATGCATATGTATAAACGAGTAAGAAAATAGGCCGAGTAGTTTCTTGATCAGTGAATTTACTTAATTCTACCGACTCTTTCTAGATCAACGGTTGAATATTTTATATGAATATTTAATTAAACGAGGAATCAAGTTTTGTTATTTTTGTTATTTTTTATTTTTCGAAGGGTCGAAAGTGTATCGTTGACTTATTTTTAAAGTTAGATAAAAATGTTTTTTCGTCGTTGATAGGAATAAAAGTACATTTCTTTACGAATTTATGATTCGGGATTTTTTATTATATTTCCGAGGCAATCATAACGCGGATATCAAACGAGTAATGTATTTTCAATATGTGATTATTTATTATTACCGATACAATTTCCATTATTCTCGGTTTGTATGTACGTATATTCTTTTTTGTGCTACTCGACTTGAAATTATTAAAGCATATCGATCCAACTGTATATACATATATATATATATATATATATTATTGTATTTTGTATATATATATTATACTATTTTGTTCGATTTTTCATTATATAAAATCTTTTTTTTATATGCTCTACATTTATATGTATATATAAATGTATATATAAATGTAGATTGTTAGGAATGAGCCGAGCTTATTAAAATTTAGTAAATGATCAAAAGTAACGCGGGAAAAAATGGGACGACCATTCATAAGACACCATTTTTAAAATCATATAAACTCACAATCAGACTATTTTTTTCACTGCTATATCAAAAGCAATGGTGCACGAAATATTATGTATTTAGTATACGCCTGTGTATATCAAATATCAGTCATATTTCACGATTCGTGTCGTGAAAACTAATCGAATTGTCGATTGTTTGAAAATGTTTCGTCACAATTTCTGTATATCTACTCTGTAAAACAATAAGTTCCAAGTTATTTTGAACTCTTTTGTAGGCACGAGGAATCCAAGATTTTAAAGGGAAGCAAAAGTCAATTTATTTATCGAATTTATATGCTTATTTAGTAAAACGAACTGCGTTGCATTGCGATTATAATAAAACGAATAGTCACAATCCAATTAAAAATGTTGAGAAATTTTGTGAAAACAAAATAAACGATAATAATCAATGATAGAAAAATTTCAGAAACTTTAATTAAAATCGTGTTACGATTCAATAAGCGTGATTAACCAGTTAGCCGTGATTGACAAATATACTCATCATGGAGAAATGGCAATATTTTGCTTCATTTTTACGATTTAATTTAGATACACACTTTTCAAAGATTTCACCATACCTAACTAATTGTTAAATAGCAAATAGTATCTACTATTTCCGCATGACGAGTATACTCTTTTAAATATTGCCATTTTTCCATGACACAAGTATATTCTTCAATCACAAATAACTAATTAAGTGATGATCGAAGTTAATTACAGATAGTATAATTACAACATATCTCAATAAAGTGCACAATTATAATAGTATTAATTGCTATAAAGTTTTATAACGCGAATCGTTATTCTATATTAAATCCTGCTCATTTTTACATTTCTTCTATCCTTTTCGTTTTTATCAATAAACACGGTTTTTCATTTCGGCAAAAATAAATCGTCCTGGTTCTCCGCATTCCGTGTTTGGTTCCACAAAATTAATTTTTATGTATATATATGTGTAAGTAGTACTAACAGGAGTACTATACACATGATAGGTGTGTTGCACCGATGCACATGTGATTGTGCATGAAAACTCTGATATAAAACGATGTATATTATATGTACATATGTGTGTGTGTGTGTGTATGAACGTAAGTTCTCTGTGGTAACGTTGTGGGGTAAATGGAAAAGAGATGAAAAAGGAGGGTGGAGGGTGGAAGAGTTGGAGTTGGAGTTGGAGGTGGAGGGCTCGCAACGATGAACGAAAAAAGAGGGAGAGAAAAAGACAAGGTGGGTGGTAAGGGACGAAGAAAGAAAAGAAAACAAAGTAAACGCAGCCGCCGAGGCAACAATGGTACATCGACCCGCCAAAACTTGTACCAATGCGCAGAGAAACACGCGCCTCGTCGTCGTAGTAGTAGTAGTAGTAGTAGTAGTAGTAGTAGTGTAATAGTAGTAGTAGTAGTGGTAGTAGTAGAAGTAGTAGTAGTAGTAGTGGTAGGGTAGGGTAGTAGTAAGTAGTAAGTAGTAAGTAGTAGTTGTCATAGTAGTCGAAGTAGTCGTAGTCCGTCATAGAGTCGTAGTTGTGTCGTCGTCCTTGCTTAAAAACAATTGAACGTGTTTTAATCACTCTCCACCCCCATTGCTGCTGCTGCTGTTGTTGTTGCTGCTGCAGCAGACCTGCTTCTCATATTGATC